GTGGCTCGTTACGTGCAAAGGGGTTAAGTCCGACCTAACTTTTTGCCTAACCTGATTAATTAGGGTTGTATTAAATCAATTATTCGAGTCTTGAAATTAAATTATGCATATATATGCTTGAATGAAAATGGTAGGTAACAAAATAACCTAGACTTTTTTGAGTTAGGCTTGTGTTGATTAGTGTATGTTCACTACAAACATTAACTATGATAATATGTTAGAGTAGTTAATCTTTTCTCATAATTTTATGTAAGGACTAAGGATGTAAATCAGATTATGTATCCATATCCAATTATTTTATATCAGCCTTTTATTTATTTGTTTATTTATTTATTTTGAAATGTACTAAAATTAAATTTTATGATTTGATTATTAACTCTATATTTAGAGAGACTATATAAATAATGCAATGTTAAAATACACCCTAGAAAATGGGGTACCTTGCTACAAGGGCCCACCACCAAAGTCATGCATGTGATGTTGGTGAGAGTTGAAGCTAGCATTAACTTACATACAATAACATGACACAATAATAATAAGTCATTGATAGAGAAAGATCAATAACATTATAACAATAACAATTACAAATAAATTAAATTAGCCTTGCACATTAGCAGAGGGAAAAATATCCCATAGAAGGTTCTATTGTCTACCTAACCCATATTGAAAAAGGAAACTGAAAAATGTGAGAAGTTGAAAAGTGAGTTTGCTCTTTTCTGTGTAGGAAAGGCCACTGTTTTCGGATATTCTTGATTTTTTTTTTTGTTTAATTTCATGTCATCATGTCCTTTTTCCCTTGTGGTCATGGATTATTCATCTTTGTCTTTGAATACTTTTTTTTTATCATTTTGGCTGAATATTTGTCCTTCAATTCTTTGTCACTTAAACTTTCATTTTAAGAAAATCAGATGTGATAAGAATGAAGAATAGTTTTAGTAATTGATGATTTCGTTTTCATGTTGAATAGTCATACAACTCCAGCACTTAGTTAATCAGTATGTGTGTGTAAGACACTAATTTTGAATAGCAAGATTATTGTTTATTTTTTCGGCTTTGAGTGTTCAACCACTACTAGAAGAATGACTCAAAGCTAGGAGCGAGAATTTTCACCATGCAATGATTGCAACCAATGATGTCTTTAGGCTCACTCATGTACTCATAACAGTCATAATAAGGTACAAACATATAAGAAATAATTAGATAGGCTATACTATACTATCTATATATATACAATATACGAAGTATATGGTACGTGGTTACCAGTATATGGTTGACTCTTGCATAATGTATTCATGTTTGGTAAATAAAAAGAAAAAACAATGATGTAAACGAGTTTAAATATATGGAGTAATAATTTAATTTAATTTTGTAAGAAAAAGTCTCAGGCTAATTTCATAATGATAATAATGTAGACAAATTTGAATTTATGAAGCAATTTAATTTTGTAAGAAAAAGTATCTTGCTGAAATTCAAAATATTCCAACCATATTTTCATCACCACATATTTTTTTTTTTCATAAATTTCTATTACCATCCATTACTACAGGTTTAAGTGGTAATGAAAAGTTATCTACATAAATAATACTCGTAATTTTTTAGGTGAAGTGAGTAGGCCTACTATAGATTTGAATTTCTATCCCCTTTTTCATTTGTAATTTGTACGAGTATATACTTTCATGGCTCATTCGGACCAAAAAATATGTTTTTGATGCTTTATTTGACCATTTAATAATGATGTTGAAATTTGAAACAACAAATCTCAAGTGAGGATTGTGAGGCAGACTCGGGTCGCATATTGTTCAATATAATGATCAATCATAATCGCCTACCAAAATGCCCCTACATTGAAAAAAATAAAGGAAAATTATTCAGCTAAGAGATAAAACAAACTATATGCTAGTTTATAGACTATAGAGTGTAATTTTCTACGTAGCACGTATAAAATAGTCGCATTTTGATTAATAGCAATTCCAATCTTAGAAATTGAATCCTAATCACGAGGAAACCATTATAGAAGGCAGCCAATCACTTAATTTTGATGGTCAACTTATTGACTTCTAATTAGGTAGGTGAGGCCAATCACTTAATCCTTCAATTTACATACCTACGTGTCCACATTTACATCAATTTTCCTTTTTTTAAAGAAAAAGGCTTATACTTTTTGTTAACTTTCAAGATTATATATATAATATAAAATTGGTCAGATTACATTGTACACATTATGTCTCTTGAATGATCAATTCAATATGATGTGGAAATTAATGAATTGATTAACAAATTTAATTAGAGGAAAATTTGAGTCTTATTCAATAATAAAAATCAAGGGTGTATGTTTAATAATAAAAATCTAGGGTGTATGCGTGGTATTTGAGATTTATATATACGGAGTACATATAATTTTGAACTATTCATTTGTACATTTTTTTAATACTAAGTTATCCAAAAAATTTAATCAAGTAATCATCAACATCAAAAATACGTATAATTTGAGTAATAATACTTAACCCAATGAGTGAAGCAAACTTCAATGATAAAATGTCCATAACGGAGAGAATTTAATTTAAAAAGTTGTATGCATCAAAAAGAGAAAATAAGTAATTACGTTAAATTTTTATTGATTGGTATATCATGATCAATAATACGGCACATACAGACTAGGGTTTTTTTTTTTGGGTAATTCTTTATATTTAGTTTAAGGATTTTGTACAACTTTGATTTTGAGTAACCATTTACAAAATTTACTAAATATCTAATAATATTTTTTTTTTAATATATAGCTATTATATACGAAGTAAATATATATATTTTTTTCCTTTAGCTAGCCTAGTATGTAGTACTTGGTTTGGACTTCCAAAATAGAACTAATGAAACCGTCTTATGTAAGAATATTTTGGAATATAATACTCCTTCCATAAAGTAATAGAATAATAAAGATGAAAAGGAGCTCAAAGAAAACGCACGCAAGAGATGAAGCCGACAAGGATTCGTCACTTCTTTCAGTTTTACTAAAAAGACAGGTTTGATTGGATGTTAATATGATGATTAGGTAAGATATTAGGGTACTAAATCAGGCAGATTAACCTTTTTATTTAATGAATTTCCATTAATTTATTGGTAATTCAATAAGTAATGTGCGAAGGAGTGTGTTTATCCAACACCTCTTCTCATCCTCTCAGAGCTTATCCATCATATGACATCGACTATCAAATCCTTTTCCTAATAAAGACAAATTCATCACCCAAAAAAAAAAAAAAAAAAAAAAAAAATACTCTTTGTACGGAGTTTATATCATGCATGTCCAATTTTGGTAGATATCAATATACGGAGTTTATATCATGCATGTCCAATTTTTTTTAATCTATTGCGGTTTGTTCTCTTTGTTGGTTAATCATTCAAGTTTTCAATAATTTTCTCCTTCTTTTTTAAGTTTAGATCTATTTTCTTTGTAAGCGCTTTTGAATTATTATTGCTAATAATCTTCCTAATAATATAATTATCCATGCTAACATATACATGTACGACTAGATCTCTGTATATATCTGGATCGGAAAATCTTTAATAATTGTGGCAACTATGGAGCTTAATTATCAAATTTGTGTATTTGAAATGAAAAATAACACATGATAATACTCTTTTACTTGCTTTTTAAAAATAAAAAAAAAAATAAAAAATGATAATACTATTTTACTTGCTACTTGGCAAAATATTCCTACATATAACTATATAAGCATACTTATTACAAAAAAAAAAAAAAAAAAAAAAAAAAAAAAAAAAAAAAAAAAATTATATAAGCATACACCATGACCATTTATACAGTAATAATTATAATCAATTATTATGAAAAAATTGTCCTGAACAGCTCTTAAGATTCTAAGATTAAAAAAGCCAAAATGCAACAAAATAAATTTACATATAACATAAATTGTACATTGCAATTTTATATAAAAATAATTATTCTTCTCAACAACCACCACCTCATCTTAAAATGATAAATTCTATGCCCTTGAAATCGACCTTGCCTTAAGTACATTATGTGACTTAATATTTAATACCTCATTTTCCTACCATTAAACTTAAAAATACAAAGTATACATGCATACATGTTCAATAATCACACCTTGTTGTGAAACATCAGAGTTACCCCTATAATCTCCCTCTTTCTTGTGGAGCCAAATTCATCTACTACCTCCGTTAACAATTATTTACAACGATTAGACATTTTTCCTCTCTAATTTATGTCAAATCGTTGCAAATAATTGTTAACGGAGGTAGTAATACAATTTGTTACAGGCTCTAAACATGCATGTAATGTGAATGAAATATTTCGAAATTTGGACTATAGATCATATATGAAGTATACTGCAGTTTGTTTTACAATTAAATAAGGGAAGATAAAAGAAGAAAGGTTGAAGTAGGTAAAGTTGCTAGTGTTATGTAATCACTCACAAAAACACCATAAAGAGCCAATTACACCCAACATTAATTAAAGCCATGCACCACAAAAATAGACCCAAATCTTCAAGACCCCTTTCTAACCCAACAGGTAATCTTTACAAAGAACCCTAAAACTCCGAACTGTTTCGTGTGATGCTATTCTACTTTCACTTCACCACAATAATCAATTCTCTAAAGATTTCTACTGATTAAGTAACCTAAGTGAAGTATAAATAGACTAGAGGTTGGTGGTAAAGTGACACTTCCTTGTGTCCTTATTGCAATCTTGCTATACTGAGTGAGTAACTAGACCCAAGTGAATTATACTTGAGAATATTCAAGCACTCCTATGTACTTCGTAAAAAGAAAAAACGCCTCAAAATTAATTTTTTATTTTTTTTCTTTTTTTATACACATTGCTATGCAATTGTACCAAATGCCTAGATCTAGTCAATAATATTCATATACTTGTACTCTATATTACAATAATGTTAGTTGTAGGTAAAATTGATTTTTTTTTATACGCATTGCTAAGCTAAACTAACAAGAAAAACATAAAATCCTAATGAACAAACTAATTATAATATGTATTATTGTTATAGTACTAGTAAATAATCACCCAAATTTATGTTAATACATCCTAGCTACCACTAATTACACAAGTTATATATATCTAAAAGGATTTGTTGAGAGCTACCACAAATCTCTTTTTCTTAGTACTTGTAGTATATTCTCTTTCATCTAAAATCGATCAACAAACAAATCCTAAAAAATTAAAAATTTACTTCATCATCTCCAAACTTCTATAGTCGAAAACAGCATTAGTTCTCAACCCCAAGAAATCATAACAAATGTTGGTACCATTATTACTACTAGTACTACAGCCAACCATATTAATATTTTGACTGCAATTACAATCTTGTTGACTATTCTCCAACCCCAAACTGCAAGTGAAGCAAATTCTTGTCCCTGTTTTTAACTCTGTATTTTGTAGTTGTTGTTGACAAGGAGGACTAATTCTAAGATCAAGGTTCAAATCAGGGCATCTCTGTGTAAATTTTCTTCTAGATTGTTGTTGTTCATCTTCAATTAACATGTGATTATTAGTAAAAATTTCATCTTTCATTCCCAAAATCTCGTCTTTTAACCCCAAAACTTCTTCCTTCTTCGCAATAGAGATTGGTGCGGAAAATGAGATTGTTGTTGTTGTTGAATTTGGTGTTGTTGTTGGTGAAGATTCTGGATTTGATACAACTTCATTTAGTGATCTATGTGTAACAGGGTCAATTCCCCTGTTTAATAGCTTTCTTTTGATGTGGGTATTCCAATAATTCTTTATCTCATTGTCTGTTCTTCCTGGTAATCTTCCTGCTATCAATGACCACCTAAAACAACAAAAATTCATTCGTTTCTTCAAACGGGTATCAAGAAATTTTAATAAAAATTCAATCTTTAAGGAAAATTTTGACATTTTTCATACTCCATATTGTCTTTTCTTGTTTCACTAAATAAAACCCATTTATTCTTTCCCAATTTCAAGAAACAATATTGTGACAAACCCTTTTTTTAACCCACCAAATTTCACCAAATTAGTAGTGAAAAAGTTCCCATTAAATTCTTTAAAATAAAAAATTAAAAAAATCCCATTAAACTACTTGAAAAATGGAGGGAAATAGTGAAAAACCTCTGTTTTTTTGTTTTGGGTAAAAAAAAAGTTGAAATCTTGACTTACTTGTTACCAAGAAGACTATGTAATTTGATGATGAGTTCATCTTCTTCTTCAGTAAAATTACCCCTTTTCAAATCAGGACGAAGGTAATTAATCCACCGGAGCCGGCAACTTTTACCGCACCGGAGAAGACCAGCGGCTTTAGGAAGAGAACGCCAACAACCTTCACCATGAGCTTTAATGTAAGCAATTAATCTATCATCTTCTTCTTTTGTCCATGCTCCTTTGTTTGTATGAGCTTTCTCACAACAAGGGGACCTCCCCATTTTTTAAATTTTTCAAAAAAAAGTTAATTTTTATAATTTTTTGGGAAATTATGAAATAATCTTAAGATTGTTGGAGGGAAAAATTGAAGTTGGAGAAATTTAATTTTTTCAGTTTTAGCTGTTTTTTTTTTTTTTTTTGATGTAAAATATTTTATGATGATGAGCAAAAGCTAATTTAGGGGGGAGTTGGGTGAAGCAACAAAGCTGACCCCTTTTGAGGAATTGAAGGGGTTTTTATAGGGTACTGATTTGGATTGAGAGAGAAAGAGCTTCTAGATGTGAGTTGGTGAGATAGGTTAGAGGGAGAGTGGCTGGTGGGGTTACTCTTTTGATGATATTTTAATATCATTTCATAATAATAATATAGATGGATTACATAAATATATTTATTTAGGTCAGAAATTAGAGTGAAAAAGATTCATTAATTGGAGGTAAACATAAGTTAGGTGTAAAGTAATTAAAGATTACACATTTATGTCTAGTATATACATATGTTATTGTACAAAAATATGATTATAATTTTTATTTTATTTAATAGAGGTGGAAAATACTAAAATTGTTCTAATGTATGTATATCTATTAAATAGAAAAGGTACTAGGTATAATAAGAAGAAAAAGAGAGTGGAGACAATGTATGAGATCTAGTTTAGGCATTTCTTTGCAAGTCTAAAAGCTTTGAACCACTTTTGGGATTAAGAATAATAATGATTTGGTTAGGCCCTCAAAATCTCTAATTAAGCTCACTAAGACCAAGTGAGGAACAAGCAAGAAGAGTACCAGAAAACATGTTACTAGTATAATATTATTTGTAGTTGCAACTAACTCCATTTTAGGCTAGTGGGTATGTTCCCTATCATCTTTATTTTATTCATTGTATAAAGAGTTTATAAAATTATAGGTAGATCCACTTGATACTCCAATCAAGATTGTTGTTTTTTTCTATTTGGATAATTAAGTTTCTAAATCATAGTATTACTTCTTCTCTTATTATTGTTGTTTAAATAATACATTATTTGAATAACAACAAAGTAATGTGGCTATGATGTACTCTCATCAATCATAGTATTACAAAATACTTGCTTGTAGAAATCAATTGGGACATGTGTTATCTTCATAATTTAACATTTCAAACCATTAGAAAAATTCAATAATGTAAGTACATACCAATTCTATAATAAATGTAAGTACCCTTTCTTCTCCCTGCATTTGGTTTTATACTGTTGAGATCATGAAAATACGAATGTGTATTGTTTCGCATTAGAGAAGAAGAAACAATTTTGTATGTTAATTTTGATGTCCATTATTCTCTTAAATTGAAACTTCTTTGATTGAATTTGGATAGGTGTTAATGAGTTTGTGCAAAATCAAGCATTATGATTCATGTTCAACCTCATTAAAATTCAATGAATTCAAGTTCAAGCTCGAAAATGTGTTCATTTGAGAATTTATTTTGTAAAATATATATAGATTAGTCAAGCCTCCAAAGTCAAAGTAACAAGTGTTGCATATCCAAAGAGATTTTAGCAATTTAATAAGTTAGCTGAAAAAATTTAGCAAATTAATGGTTGAAGTAGCGATTTCATAGATGCATAAAAAAAAGTATCAATATTTACAGAAAATAAAAGGTATAGAGTATAACTATATAATTAAGCTCTAACCCTACCAAAGACTAGTTCATTAGTTTTTCAAATAAACTTAATTATATTAGCTTGTAATCGTTACTATACCCTAAAAAATTATTTCATATACAAGTATATATTTTCGATGTTGTTAAAATGCTAATGTTACTCAAATTCTTTATACACGACTTTATTAATTAATCTATTTTCGACAAGATTTAATACTACAAAGTAGTACGTATAATAAATGGAAAGTAGCAATTTTTTTCTTCTTCTAACTGTATTTTCTATCTCATTATTGTCTTGCTGAGTAGCTAGCTATAAGAGCAATCAATAAGTTCTCTTTGACTAAATCAAATTAAAGTTTGTTTTCTTTTTGGAGAAAGAAAATTAGAAAAAGAAAATGGTTGAGGTCTAGAACAATAAACTAAGAAACAAAATTGACTGTATTAAATACCCGCTATTTTGAGTAAAGAACTAAGACAATTTCATTTGAACTCCCCATCCTCCCCATATGTTATGTCAGCAACAACTTATTAGATGAGGCTACAAGAAGAGTTGACAACATAGCAGGAGAAAAAATAATTCAATTAAAAAAGAAATTTCAAAAGTATCTCTTATTCTCTATTACTACCTCCGTTTCATATTGTCGGGCAATTGAAACTTCGGGGGTAGCCCAGCATTGGGGAACACAACCAAGTTTGCAACTTTGGGGTATTATAATATTCCAAAGTTGTAAAAAATATAAAACGAAGGTAGTGTATATATATATATATATTAGGAAAAAAAAAAAACTCTTCGATCGTTGTTATGGAGTATATCCTTCCTTAACTTTGATCGTTATTTTTATTCTTTAAACGACATCAACTCAATCTTAAGGTACTTATTGGTTTACAATTTTTTTTTTTAATATAAATATAGTAATATGAGTTGTCGTACATGTTTTTCAAAATATCAATCACGCATCATGTGCATTTAGATCTAGTATATACTCAGTATGTATGTTATATAAAGTAAGTCTTTAATCGGTTTCAATTCTTTGTGGTTGAAAATTATAATTTGGGAAAAAATGTCAATGAAATAATGAGTTAGGTGTATGTATAGGAACCAAAATTGGCCCAAGAGAAAGGGACATGTGCAATCTAGTGTATAGTAATATTGGAGAAAATAGAAAAATGGTAGTTGTTGTGGTTCTTTTATTTTATTGGTGATGTATCATGCATCGTGTGGGAAGTTAGAAAGAGAAAAAAAGGGAGATTAAGTTTCTAGAAGAGGGGTTGGAGGAGTTGGGTTAAAAGGGCAATAGAACAAAGTAGCAAGGCTTAGTTTGATGACAAAAGCAAGCATAAAAAAAGGCATATTATTATTATTATTATTATTATTATGGAGGGTGTTAAGATTAAGATTACTCTTTGCTTGCATTTTGATTGTTTTTGTGTGTGGGAATTTGCTTCACCTTCCACTTTCCATCAATAATTCTTCGTTTTTCTTTTCTTTTCTTCCCTTCTCATCCTTGTGGTGCAAGTTGGTAATGTAGGTAGGGTTAGGGGATTCTAAGGCAGAGAGAAAAGAGGTTGGTTCACCCTTTTTGTCACACTCTCTTTCTCTCTCTCTCTCTCTTTCCAAAGGAAGTAATAACCAACTTATCGATGTAGACAAATTGCTCCACTCTTTAGAGTTATTTCAGTAAAATCATCCATTACAAAATCAATTCATCAATAATCTACAGATCGAGTACATATTTCTATAAGGATATCGTTCGTCCACTCTTTAAAATTTTATGATCTTGTTTAAGATTGGGCACGATAAGATCAAACTAATTAAAAATCCCCTGTAACTAAATTTTACGCAAAACAATTAATTAATCACACACCTCTTATTCTAGTCCCTACTAAATGCATCTTGTAGAATAATTAGTTACCCACCACTAGTGATGCATAAGACCTTTTTCCATCTTTTCCTCCCACCTCCTTTATTTGAAAACTACTTGTTCCTGTGTTCCCCAACCCTCTACCCTAAATATTGGTACCTACTATTCTCTCTCATTCCCCCCAACTATCTTACCCTCAACTTGATTTTTTTCTTTTCTAGTGGATTATTTTCTCATTCCTTCACACATTGAACCCCAAAACCAACAGGTGGCCCACTAGGGTCAATTGGTCAAAGTGAACAATTCTTAAGGCTAATGATGTTAAACTAAATACTACGTACTTCGTATATGTTACTCCTGCGACTTATCCCTCCTTTTTTTTTATTAGTTGTTATGTTATCTAACAAATATTCATGATATTTTATCTACTCGTACTTATTCCATATTAGTAAAATTCCATAAATTTTATATACAAAAAAATTAATGTATTTTGTTTAGGTGTAATGAGAGATGAGAGTTTGAGACAATGTAACAACTATATTGAATCGAGTATATATAGATTCAGGTGAGCGAATTCACTCGTGAGTATTTCTGTTGCCCTTAATTTAATAAATTTAAAAAATTCTTGAAGAGGCAAATGAAAGAAGAGGTAGCTAGGTAGGAGAGAGAGGAGGAGGACATGAAGAGGATGGTGTAATTGTTTTGATTACACCTACTTCCTTCACCCACATCTTACTGTCCACTAGTCTATCTTGGGATTTATCATAAGATGCTGAAATGTGTACCTCCTTCTTTTACTATCAAAATTATTATTCCTGTCACCTAATTATCGTTATCTCTATTATTTTGAACTTATCCAGATCTTGTTGTTTCACATAAACTAATTAAAAAATAATAGGGGCTTATAATTGAATATATACTAAATTTGTTTTCTTATACAAACTTCCCCAAATTACACTAAATTAAGAATGAATTGACTGTTCAAAAAGATGATTAATAGCTTCACGTATTAATCTTGCCTTTTTTTTTATTTATTTTGTTTATTAAATTATGAAGCTTTAATTCATTTGAAGGGGAGATGACCAATTAAAGTCACTATCAGTTAGGTATTTCAACCCCAAACTAATTGTCATGGCTACCTCATCCTAGTCTCTATCCTTAACCGACCTTTACATTCATTTATTTTCCTCCACATTTTTTTAATCACAGGAAACAACCTAAAACAGAAAGATTATCTTTGAAAATTGACGTGAGGAATTTTGTAAATATTGGGTCTTTTTCTTTTTTTATTTGGAGATGTAAGTTTTATGTTATAAAGTAAAACTTATGAATAGAATCACAATTTTTAGGTAGATAACTTAGGCTATAGTTTTATGTTGGTTCAAATAGAAAAGGTGTAGCTTATTCACCTCCATCAGACTTCAACAGGCATCCAAGGAAGAAAATCATTCCTAGTTTCTATCTTGATGTTAGTAGAGTCGAGTTATTTATCTCCCGTGATGTCGTACACCCGATTTAATAGCTCTATATAGTATATACATGCTGCTAGTTTTCTAAAGTCCTACTATAGCATTATAGGAAACTAATCATAAGGTTATACGTCATACTAGCCCATGAACTGAATATCAGCCAGAAAATGTGTTATGGTAGATAGTCAAGATAGATCCTTCTAGTTTATCTGTTTGTACTTGCAGTCAAAAAATAACTTCATGCTCCTCTCATCTTATTTTTACAAATTTTAATTGACTAAATAAGGAATAAAGGTTACAGAAGTTCAATTCACAACTTTATAAAAAAATTTAAGTTAAAGTCCAAAAGGAAATTTAATGCAAATAAGTTAAGATCAATAAAAATAAAATAAAATAATAATAATAATAAAAAAAATAAAAATAAAAACTAGTAAAAAAGAACACAGCTTAGATAGCTAAATCTATCATGGAATATAAATTAAGTTGACTAAAGCTCTTGAATATGACCGATACGAGTTTCTAACAATTTTTTATTCGAAATAAGTTTTCCATCTTCAACTAGCAAGCTCGCTAGTCGAATTTCAGATGCATAAATGTACTGTTAATTATGAAATTTAATAGATCTCTAATTTCCTTAATTTTTGTAAAAAACATAAATGAACACATAAGTAAGAGACGAAGGGAGTATATTAAAAAAAAAAAAAAAGGGGGGGCCTAGAACTGGATTATTCCAGAGTTCATTCTCAAAGATTGGACGAGGTAGAGGGATGATCGACTATACTAACGGACAAAAACAACGTAGTAGTAAAAAATTAAAAAGTTTGAGTAAACGCCAAAAATAAGGAGTAGATCCTACAAACTCCATGAAGATGGGAGTTTAGTGGAAGTTGGATACACTTGATTTTATATTTTTTAGGAGAGAGAGCGGTGATTGTAAACCAAGAATGTGAAGGGTGGGTTAGCCTACCAAGTACCAACTTACCCAAGTGACACCCAACTCATCAACACGTGGGTGTCATGTGCTTAGGCTGATATGATGACTTACATCAGAGAGATTAAATGTATTTTCTTTTCTTTTTTTTATTATTATTATTTAAATTTTTTTAAAAAAAAAGTAAGAAAAAAGAAAGATATCGTTTCTACTAAACATCTACCTAACATAATTTTAGGTTGTCCTTTACCCCATGTGAGACTCCAGAAAACTTGTTGGAATAATCAGGTTTTTTTGACCCACTTCTTCTATTATCATTTCCTCTTCTTTTTTTTTTTAATTAAAAATTATAAAGAGGCAAGATTTATAAAGCTTCTACGTGACTTGTTCATACTAAACACCCATTTTGTTATTGATTAATAACGACTCTTATTATAACTGAAACTGATAACGACATCCATCCACAACATCAGATTTCAATCTCACTCCTCTTTAGTCCACCTCACTTATCATTCTTTCACCTTCCAACTCTGCTTTATCAATTGTACTCCCCTTTAATCATCTCTTAAGCTTCTTCTAATCATTCGCCAACAAGTACAAGTACAAGTACTTATTTTTATATTCTTCAGAGGGGTAGGGGGGAAAACAAATCATACTTAAGCTATACCATACATGAACAAATGAGATGTTTATGGTAGGACAGGGTCTGTCGATATTACCCGGTATCCTGGAAATAACAGAAGAGCAACTTACAAGCATATAATAGTATGGGAACCCCCCAAAGCGAACTTATTTTACTCTTTAAATCGTTTCACTTATAGTTTCTAGCCAGTTCATACAACCACTTGAATTAAAGATAGAAGGTTAGCGAGTGCTGTTGTACTGATATGATAGATATTCCTAGATGAACATGATATGAGCAATAAATCTCACATGTATGATGAATACTAGTTCATACAGATGGTAGGTATTGTAATATTGATATGAATAATGTTTACTTGTGATGAAGTCTCTTTACTTTGCGCGTTTGCGAATTTCATAGATGTAGCTACAGATGACCACTGCCGCAGCAACTGCAATTCCAACTGCACTCTGAGCCAGTACAGTGGTGTCGGGGCAGCATGACTTGGCCCCGCTTGGAGCGAATCCTAGTTCTGAAAGTTTCTTGTGCGAGGCTGCATAGTCACGGAAGAAGGCATCCTCATCCTGACAGTCCAGAAATAATGAGTAATTATCAAGCAATCAACAAATTTACATATACACCTTCAAATAAAACAAGTCCAGACATATCAGCTCAGGATAATATTAATTGGAGGGTCTCCAATCATAGCACAGAACAACTTAGAATCTAATGCATGTAACCTGAATATGAAAATACTAGTTGCCATATTATTCCTCAAGTATTATTTTATCTAGTATTAGCAATTATATAAAAATCCTAGTCTATGAATACATTGGGAAAAGGTGAAATCAGTTAAGATCAACCAATCACCTTAAAAAAAATAGCATGGTAGCTGAAATAATATAAGGCTTCTCTTGGGAATGCATGTTTTTAACATTTATGGATAAAAAACAATGAAAGATATCTATCAGTTCAACAGATTGCAATTGCAACTCATGTCCCAAACAAGTAGTAAAATTTTGCTTTGAACTTTGAGGACAAATATTAATTAATTCTTGGGGGTGTTTACAGAATCCTAATTCAAGATATCTCATCACCAAATTTAGAAAGATAACCAATTTTTAATCAAATAAAATAGAGCGCAAAAATGACTTCATTGATAAACGAACATGACTGTCAAATAAATTCATTTTCTTTTTCAATCAGCTAGTAGTACTTAAGCTCAACAAAAACTTTACGCAAACAAGCATTGAACAATATAAAACTTCCAGATAGAATGCAACCACTGTAGAAAAGCCCTCAACAGTTTCTGTGAATTCCGTGTGATCTCTTTAATAAATCATATACAAACAACTTAAATATAAAACTCATAAAGTAAAAATAGATACCTTAGCATACAATTCCACAAAAGGGCGAAATGCAGGATCCTCCACCAAAGTTGTATCAGTAGGAAGTTTCAACAGTCCCTCTGATTCTCCTTTCAAAAGCTCCCTGTTGAGAAGAGATGTTAGATGGCAATTGCACTTAGTACAAAGTACAGCAGATACTCGACAAACTGCCCACTTCACTTATGGAAAGGTCTACACAAAAATTTTACAAAAATATCTCTTACACAAAATAGGAGTTATCAAACTTGAGTGGCTCTTGGGTCCACGGGCCATCAAAGCCTGATCTCTCTGGATGTGCCCTTCCCTAAGTCACCAATAGCAAAGCCAAAGTTTTAAGTGCATATCCCTATGGCAAACAAATTGTGATAAAGCTAGCATGAGTATTACCAGGGTATGAGCCCCAGATAGGGCCACAATGTCTTTGTCAGAAAGACCCATCCTGTAAAATATGTCCCTCAGATGTGGTGCACCTATAATGAATGCGTCATCAACAAAATGAATCATCAACCAGAGAGGAAAACCGATTCAGTGAAAAAACAAGTAGCAACGAGAATGTGACGTTCTCAAAACACCCCGTACATATCATACGGAGTATTTGTTTTAATAAGAAAATTTCAAGCTAGTAATCAAGTACAGTGCTGCTGCAATTATATGAAGCATAAACGACTGTAACAATGTCATTTACACAATTCTACCACTTTCAACAATCCAAATCGTTTGAAAATATTCCATTATATTTTTATTTGTTAACATATACTGTATATCATCTTTTACTTACAATGTGAAACAAGTAAAAGGTGAATAACAAGTTGCTTTAGATCCTGTAGTCTGGACACACTTCTTCGAGACAATATAAGAAACATAAAAAAAATATATACTGTATATGTATAAAAAAAAATAAAAATAAACCACCCATTGCTACACAAACAGAATAGGCTACAGAAGTGAAAACGGTATCCTTAAGACAGCAGCAAAATTTATCCATTCTTGGTACTCCTGTTAAAGCCAAAGAGAATAATGCAATATTGGCATAATTCCCACTGGCGGAAGAGTGCATGTTGCATGACAATATTGAATAGTGATACTCTCAAAGAAAATCTATGTTTCCCAAATCCCAATTCCACAAAATCACTAATGTTAGATTTCATGTAATTCACACAGACCATGAACATAACATCACTCTATATGCATTCTTAACACTAGAAACCCAACAGATTAAAATGCTGATAGAAATTTCTTCAAAACCTTGTTTGGCATCTGGAAGTCGCCCTTCCTTGGGACACACAGTTGAGTCCTGGAATGCATTAACGGAAATCTTAGCATCCTGAAGCGATCCTATAACTAGTTCTGTCTTTAATTCCAAAATTACACACCTTTCTACCCGGAACAAAGTCAATTGTAGGTCCTCCAGTGACCTCAACTGCAACAACACCAGCAAGCTGCAAAGAAAAAAGAAAATCTCAAGTACACATTCTGAAATTTATCACTAAAAATATCCTATGCATAATTCTAGATATAAAAAGGGGAGAACGGGAACAGTTCAGTAATAGGTGAGAGCCAGACATGCTAAAAATCAGTCAGCAAGCAAAGTAGCACAAAGCCCAATCTACCAGTCAACACCACGGCATTCTCCCGCTTCTGCACCAATGATGCCCATTAAGCAAACCTCACAAAGGCACGAAACCAGATGTACCAAAATTACAGGAAAGATGTGTGTATGGCTTGAAAGCTATATCTTTGTTTCTTATTACCTCAAATAAACCATTAGACCTAGGACCCCCTTATATGATTTAGTAGTCACTAACAAATACTCCATTTTAAACACAAGGCATATTATTATTTAACCATTTTACTTATACTAAAAGGATGATTAAATTAGATGTAAGAAAGCAATTAGACGTGTAATATTACATGACATATAGAGAACATATATTTCAAACAATATAATTTGGCTATAATGACTTATACTCCTTCTCTATATAATTGTCACAACCACCTATTCAGAGTGTTTTATTACCTCCAAGAGTTAGGATCCCCCACTCTCTCATTCACTATCTCCCACTACATCCACTTTATATTAAAAAAAATAATAAAAAAGAAAAAATCCAACAATAACTTAAAGCATAAAACACTTTGAAAAGGTGGTTGTGACAATTATATAAGGACGGAGTATAAGTCATAATTTTCCTAACTCTTGGAGGTAATAAAATACTAGAGAGAGGAAAAGACATGAGAGAGGTAATAAAATACTAGGGGTCCATACCATAAGTGTGGCAATTAAACTAGGATGGACTAAAGACGGAATTGATTGGGAAGGAGAGAGCATTTGGAAACAAAGGCAGAAATGCATCACACTCACTACAATTACCTAGAACACACATTCTATTCCATAGTAAACTAAAAAGGCATATATTAATATACTCCCTCCAACAAGAAATCACTGTCAAGCACACTATTTTTGGATATGGTGACTTGTCATGTGTCTTAAAATGGCAGTGATTTGCCATTAGTTTTACTAATATACCGTTGTAGATATTGAATAAGGAAACGAATATTGGAATGCAAAAGGTAAAATTCTGTTACATGTTTAAATACAAGAAGTTGGTACAATCTGAATATATAGACAAAGGGAATATATAACTAATGTGATTGTGATACCAACTTTTACTGCATTAAACATCTCCTAAATCTCATAATTCTGTTTCATTGAGGGGTTGGGCGGTGAGGCAGTAGGCATAAAACATTCTTTTAACTTTTCAAGTCTCTACATATATAGATGGATAATCACCTGATAGAGGTCTGCATATGTAATCTTTGGGTGTTTAGCCTTCACCTCCTCTGAAATTAAGCAAAAGAGAAAGGAGACAAAATCAATGAGATGTATTGAGCCATTAAAGTAATGAGAAGATAAAGATAGAATGACAGCGAGCAAAACAAGCATGTGCATGGTAGGTATGTTGTACTCCAGAACAACAATAAATATCTAGTATTGATTGTAATCTAGCTGAAGCAGGATCTTGGGAAATTTAAATGTATGCAGCTTTACCCCTAATGCCCCTACAAGTCAAAGACTATAAAAGTGGTTATTTCTGAAGGACCAAGGAGGGTATACAAGAGAGGAACCAAGCAGGATTTTGGGAATTTTCATATCGATTATTAATGTTGCGCCAACTTGCTTGTATCATTTTTTCTTGATATGGAATTTAGGGCTCTTCAATTCATGAGGATGCTTGGTCATCTCCACCCTCCTGAGTCCTGGCTGTTCAAATCAAGTAATTTCTGAAACATTTACTACCTCCGTTTGTTTTAGTGGACTTAGCCTAGCTCTGTTCTTGATTGGTCGAATCGATTCGATCGCCATGTGACACGGTTTGACTTTAGCACTATTCAAACACTCCCCTTTGACTATGTTTTGTGCTTTGTGCTTTGTATGTAATGAACAATATAGTCATGTGGGATCTTGTTAGATTCGTCACAATATATATTTTCAAAATATCAATTTTTTTATAATTTTTACTTATCGATGATTAAAGATATTAATGGTTGAATTTATGCATTGACAAACGTGACTAAAAAAACGTGTCAACTAAAAAGAAACGGAGGAAGTACTTCATTAGGCAAAAGCAAGAATATACTCATGCCTTCGGCAGCTTGAATATAGCACCCTTTTGTGTAGCTAAAGTAGACTTTTTTCTTGGAGATCAGCATTTATTTAATGTAGCAGAAGGTCTTTATTACATTATGAACAACCAAGCAATCTGACTGACCTAGGCCCCCAAATTAACATCACCTAGTTACTTCTTAGTGTGTGACACTCATAGATTAACCCTTTTAGTAAATGCAAAATGAAACGTAGCTGATTTGTTAATAGGGAGCTTAAAGAATGTATAAAGTCACAATCAACCACTATGTTAATCGGACATGGCTAAAATCGCGAAGTGTTCGTGTCGACACGACACGGGACACGTGTCCGACACTTCATTGTGCACTCGGACACTTCTATTAAGAGTGGAGAGAAAAAAAGAGGAGAAACATGAAAGAAAAACACATCTTGTCCGAAAACCTCAGATGCTTCAAGGGCTCAAATCCAAATTCAACCACTGAGGACAGAAAAACAAGAGAGGAAAGAGGAAGAGAAGAGCATGTAAGAGTATTAATTCAAGTTCAACTAAGTCTTTCAGTTATAACTCCTATGACGAATCACTCTATGCTGTCTAATATATATTCAAGCAAAGCCTATCTAATTTGGCTGTCAATGCATATGATACGTCTTTTTAAACAATGCCTTAGGCATCTACATCAATAATAATCTAGGTCCATTATCTAATTTGGTTTCTTTGGAAGTAAGATCTTCAGCTAGGAAAGAAACTTTTGGCAACACCACAGCAAGGAAAGTATTAACTACGCAAGAAACAGAATTCAATTACAATATCTTTGTCGATCAATGACACAGTGCCATGCCTGCGAATCTTGTGACCAGCAAAATGCACGATTCACAGATATGACATGCTCTGTTAGATGTTTTCTTTCCTCAGGCATGTGAAAGTTTTCAATCTCCAAAGAATCAGCAGGCCTCACAGCCAATGTCTCGTATGGTTTTATACATATCAACAATTCCACAATATCCTACACTGGTACACTAAACCTGCCAAATGCCAACATGCAACACGATTTTGGAACGGATTATTACTAGACAATTTCTATCACTCAACCACTTCCCAAATTACTTCTACACTTCAAAAAGATGATCAAATGAGATGAAGAAGCAAAAATCATCTCATTCTTGCAAAATTAGACAACAAACAGACATTCCATACAACATCCGACACTTTGATACGAAATTAGGTTTTCAGGCAAATCAAATAAATAAATAAAAAAATAAATAAAAAAAAATATTATACTAATAAACAGAAGTAAAATTGGCCAAACTACGTTAGCAACTTAGCATCAAGCAGTCCGATAAGGCAAAACCTAGTGCACCTTCAGGCTCAATTCATATGTGTATATCAAAATGTGTAGAACATATATCTTATATTAAACACCAGATAATGGAGGTAATTCTTAATCTAAGCTGAATTTCTACCTAATTTGTAAAGTTTTTCGCATCATATGACCAAATATACAGAAATTAATTCGACAAAAACAAGAAATTCCATACCACACCAATCAACAGCTTTCTTCAAACCACTATTGGCAGCATGAGCGCACTCTTCCTCATTCCTAATCGAACCATTCGGACCACCGGTCTTCGTCTTCGCGCAATAGGTCCCAGCATCATGCCACCTACAGAGAGAATTGAAATCAAAATCAAGGTGAATTTTGAAGGAGGTTGACGAAGTCAAAGGAGAGAGAATTACGCTAGGCGGAGCATGATAGGAGCGCAGTTGCGGCTAGAGATGAGAGCACGAAGATCGCGACGAGCTTTGTCGACTTCCTTGAGGTATTCTGTGTCGACGACCGGCATCGCCATTGATGGAGCTTCAGTGGTCAGTGTTTGTTAGAGAACGGAGATTTTGACAAAATTGCTAAAATTGAAACTATTGGTAATTGGTGATTTGTTTTTTAGTTTTTTAGATAAAATGTCATAAATCGCTGACGCTTCACGGCTTCAGGCATGGGCTGTTGGGTCTCTTGCACTTTGGATAATGCTTAAAATTATCAAGCCCTTTTTTCTTTATTATTACTAAATCTTGCGGGTAATGCGTGTAAAAAATTTCAAAAAACTCGGATGATAATATGGATCATTGACTCTCTAATTAGATAATAAGATTGAGAATAGTTAGATTTATGAGAGTTAAAAGATAAGGATATTATAAATAGTTTTACTTTTAGACAATTGAGATAATGTAAATTGTGAATTCTCATTTTCTAGGGATAACTTAGTGTCTTATAAATGTCATTTACAAGCGTTGTTTTTGTTTTGTTATACTTCCTCCAGTCTTTTATTATTGTACAATATAGGTTCGGCACACTTTTTTTGGTAGTGGGAAAAAGGAAGAGAGGGGTAAAAGTACAAAATTATCCATATGATGTAAATATAAAGTAAAGAATTAAGTGTCAAAAGCAAGGGTATATTGGCGTATTTAAGTGTGAACACATGTATTTTGTTTTGTAAAATGGATATGGTGCAATATTTGTAAAACTTCCTTAAAAGGCAAGTGGTGCAATAATTAAAAAACAGAGGAAGTATTAATAATTGATGGCTAACAATCCAATATACACAAGAAGATAGATTTGATTAAGTGTTTGTTACTGTATAGGAAGCCCATGCATAAACCTCATAAAACCTATAGAATAAAGTTTATGCATGAACCACCTTGAGGGAAACTCCAAGGTTGTTAATGCTTTGAAAACCATGTATGTTTGCGTTTGAAATTGGCTAAAAAGAATTTTATTAATTGTGTTAGAGACCTTAAAGTGACGGGATTAATTAATTTTATGGTAGGACTAGTAGATAATAGAATAAGGCTATTAAAACCAAATACACTATTCCTCATTTTTAACAAAAAAATAGTTAACAATCATTAAGCAATTAGAAATCACCATAAAATATCTCTTTTCTCTCCCTCATTGAATTTTCGGGAACCAGGTGTGACAAAGCATTGTAAGACCAGAGTCTCCTCCTTAACATTTGTTCAAAGGTGTAAAATAAAGTATTACTTGGTAGTAACCAATAATACGAGTATATATTTCATACTATATACTCCATATTAATCTCAATCGTACTATATACTCCGTATTAATCTCAATCTCTTACGTGCAAAGAGAAATAAGTATACATTCTCAAATTCTCATTAAATTAAATCATTATTAATACAAGTAGATATATCATTAATTCAAAATGGTATTTATTGGATTTGATTTTATATTTCCCGTTATTTAAATGTTGTCCTAAAGCTTAGAATTTTTAATTTAATTTACTATGAGTTGTATTAAGTTGGGAAAATAAAACACACTTAAATTAAATGGAAGAACGATGACATTTGAATTGCACTTTAGAAAATATAGAAGACAAGTTTAAGCGACGAGCTCACACCCCAAAAAAAACTACTGAAGTTGATTTCTAAAGCAAAGCCCATCCCATTAACCCAACCCGAGTCCACTTACCACTTTACTAGCTTGCTGGACCCAATTCCAACCCGCATTACTCCATATAATATACTAAAGACATCACAAGTAATGAAGTGTAAACTTGTCTTGCAAATAAAAACAATCATTTACCAAATAAAAAGGTCCACTATTCTGCTATTCATAATAACAGAACTACCATTATGTTCAACATTTACAGAAACAGATAACCTTCCAGTAGTTATGTAAAAAAAATCAGCAGAATCTTTTCTACTCTGTATATAAAAGAAAAGGAGTTTACGACTTTGGGGGGGCAGCTCTCCAAATGAGCTCGACCAAGATTAGGCCATTCTTCGACTCTATCAAGTTATACTTTTCATTTATTCGCTTGTTGCTGACGACATCGCTGAGATTGATATCAATGTATCCCAAAGACTCCTGAAAAACAATGGAATTTTGTTCATATCATAATTCATAACCAAGCAATGCAAACAAATCGAAATTGCCTGAACAAACACTTAGTTCATTAGTTGTGCTATCTCGAGTATCTCCATATCACTTACTGTCTCTTTAAGAGCATAATGGCATATTAGTAAATCCAATTTACTAAGTCATTACTATATTTTTAAGGTGATCAATTTTCCCAAGCATCCTAAATATAGTTTGCATGAGTGTGTAAATATTAATTCTAGATGGATGGAGTAAATTAAGATAAGAGACTTGATAGTTAAAAAATAGGACTAAAAAATAATTACCTTTTGATGCAGTAAACTTCTTGCCGAGGTACTATGAACTTCAATATGCAGCTTATCATTTGTTGGAGGTTCTTCTAGAACAAACTTAAACTGCTCATCCCATCTTGGATCTCTATTCTTCTTGATAGTCTGCAATAGCATAGTCAGGCAAGTTATTATACATCTTCAAAGAATATTGTACCTATTCCATGAGGACCTAAAATACTCATCAGTAAAAAGTGCATATACGACCTTGGCCTATGGAGCAGTCACATGGACACAACCCTTCCCCACCCCACCCCACACAAAATTCCAAAGAGGTTCATCTTAAATTGATTAATGGATTCGTAATATTTTGGTAGAATAGAGTTCATACGAATATTGATTTACTCGTCACCTTAAAATCAAAACAAAAAATCTAACTACAATATACTACCTTGGTCTTTCTCTCCTCTCCTCTGAAATTGACACGTGCATACGGGTTTGTATGGTGCTTTCCTTCCAAATCTTGAGCCTCGTGTAGATTCACAACAAGTACACCACCACCAGCAGGTGTTCCTGCAGGTGCTTGTTGCACCGAATCTTCAAAATCATTTCCAAGATCCTCCTCTTTAAAAGCTTTAAATGTCAATTCTAACACAATCTGTCCCCGTGACTTCTCATTTTGAGGATCATTTGGGTCAATCTTTTTGAGGAGATCAAGAGTGAACTCCTTTGGCTCATCAGGAGTAAGGTCTTTCAAAGGAATAGCATTGATACCCATTTTCTCATGTTTGCCGACCTAATATGAACAGGAAATAACAGCTTCAGAAATTATCTGCACAAAGATAGACATACTCAACTATATAAGTAAATCAAACAGCCCAAGAATACCTGCTCCCAATCATACACATTAATTTCTAAAGTCTGGGTCTGTGGATCTCTGACTGTCATATTAAACTCTTCATTCCATTCAGGGTTCAAGTTCTTGTGCTTCACTGTGGTTTTTTTTGATGGAGTTTTATCATCGGTGAGCTTCAGTTTTACATATGGGTCTGACGCACCCAAGAGATCTTTCTTTTTCAGCTTCATTGCTCTTACAACCTTTACATGTAGAATTCCTACAGGCTTCCTCAGAGCTCTGAAAAGTTTGCAGCACATACATAACAGCGGTCAATGGCAACAATGTCATAGACACGTCATCAATCATCATACAATAGAATAATAGATGTCACATATAAGAGCATACTTTGCAAGATCCAGAATAGGTACTTCAAGTGTACGAGGCCAAAGATACATATTAGCCACTTGATCTTTAATTTGCTCCTGAAGCAAGAGAAACAAAACTGAAACAGGTTCATAAATGTTGATCTGGAATCCAAAAACAAGTGATCGAAACTAAAATGCACTAAGACTTTTCTTACAGCCAGAAAAATTGCACATATAATGGGGTCTATGAGAATAACAATGAAAAGGTAGGACCCAAAGTACAATATCTAAATTCAGCAAAGGACTAAATTGATATCCAAAGTTCAACAATGTAAATGAAAATTAATTGATGGAACACCAAAAGATTTAGCTATTCTGAAAATGTAGCTCTTAATCTTAAAAAATTTAGCACAAAATAAACAAAAGAGTGAAAAATGAAGGACAACATACCTGGACAAACCTGTACAGACCTGGAATTGACATAAGATCAGCTCCCAGAACCTTCAGTCCAAAGTCAACATGCGGCTGCAAGATAATACATGAGTCATTTCTATGTTTTCCACACTTGCACACATATTAAAAACAAATAAATAAGAAGGTTTAAGATTAGCAATTACAAATAAAAGTATAAGATAAAATGACCAAAGAAGAGATAAGGGAAAATTTAATCGGCACCCCTTCAACAAGATGCATTCCAAACTGCACACGCCCTCATAATGACAATAAGAATGGAGTTCATAGATGATAAGATGCGGAGAATTCATAGCTAAGTAACTATTATTGACATTAAATTAGAAAATTGTGTTTTTTCGATCTTAATAATTCCATCGTTGTTTAAGATGAAAACAACTTCTTCAGAAGCAACACTTCTTTCTAAGGGGAAAAAAATAAAATCAACAAAAACAACAATAATCAATTCTTTCAAATATAAAAAATAAATAAAAATAAAAATATCCATCTTTAGGTCTATGGTCTAAATGTGAAAATTTTCTTGAGGTAAATCTGTTTATGCTATTGCATGAGTTGGATGATAATCACAACATGATCAAAATTGAAGAAACATGAAAAACTTACCCTAATACTGATCACACTTTCCACTGTGAGGTTTTGTCATTACTTTCCATTTTTTTAATTCAAATGATCTGACGATTGCATAACAGATCTTACCACGCTATGCAACTATCAATTCAAAATCTGATCAGTTATTTCCAACGTTGAAATTGTATTTCACCCCCAACCCCAGCTAATTTAATACATTAGGGGGAAAAAAAAGTAAAAAGAAAACAAGATAAAACTAACAAATGTCAAAATATCACATACCTTCTCCATAAGAGAAACATATATGTTGGCAAAACATGGGAAACTTGGCACCAGGGGCTTAAAAGTAATGCGAGGAGAAGCAAATACTTGAAGATCTAATACCTGAAATAATCCAAATAAATCAACTCACTAACAAAGTAGTAATGAAATTCAACAAATCTCCGCTCTGATCATCTCATACAAATAAATGCACCTTTTCCAAAAAAACCAAGTACCTGAGCTGTTGCCTTCAAGCCAAATGCTTTTATACCAACAATGATGTTAGGATTTCCTGCCCAC